CCCCCCAACAATAGAACCTGAAATATAAAATCACAGAGCCCCTCTGCAATTACAATTTATGCCCTTCTTGGGATTTGTTTTTCACATATACAATTAAAATTAATAACCCCTCTATTGGTCATTGTGGTTGCTGTTTGTATGCAACTGAGTCACTGTTATAAACTCATTAAAATTGTAGTTCACCTGTGGGGTCCTGGCATCAAGTGTCAACAAAAAGCTTTCAGCATGGAATTACTGCCTCGGTTTTTTGTAGTTCCAAGGTTTCATGTAGGAAATATTCTTCTCCTAATATGGATCAGGCCACAGCAGGCATCCCGCTGAATCATTCTGAGCAACTTATAGGAGAAATACCCCATTTTTATTATATTGTGGTGAGCTTAAGCGAAAGGGGGAGACAGAGATCTCTACTTTGGGAAGCAGAGCAAAGTGTGAGTGTAAAAAACAAAATGAAAACAATCTTGAACGGGTGGACTAGTGCATTACTCTACTGCGGCCTATGAGAAGGTAAGTAGCACGCAGGCAGCCACACTGACCAACCTCACATAAATTGGTAAAAGCCAACATGATTGGGTCACATACGAAATGTTCCCAGAGTCTCAGTTCTGAATTCCTCGGGTCACTGTACACCTTTATGGAATAACACCACCTTGCCTCCAACAGACATGACCGGGATCACCATCACTAATTTGAAACCAGAAACTACATATGAGGTCAGGATGTCCGCCATCAATGGGAAAGGTGAAGGCGAGAGCAGCCAGGCCAGCACTTTCAAGACTGAGCCAGTCCGTAAGTACTCCCCTCGCTTCTTGCTCCTGCTCTAAGTGCTCCTCTGACCCAAATGCTTTGAACCTAATGCCGTAGCTCACTCCGCTGCCTCCCCGTGTCTAGCTGTGCCCAGATGCTTTCACCATTACGTTCCTCTATTCTCATGCCAAGCCCCCAGCGCAATCCTTTTCCATCCAGGCCAGAAGAAACGATAACTCACGACGACGCCGTCACTCCATGATCCAACTTTGTTAATAGGGTTAACGATGCAATGTGTAACCTACCTCTCCTTCATCACCTAGCACTTTTATGTACCTCTTTTTTTTGGTGAATGTTTGCAGCGTGTAAGTCTGAATGAACCCTCGTCTTCATAGCCCACAGCTCAGGTGATTTACTGAAAGCTTTCTGCAAAGTACGTGCACATTCTTAAAGCTGATTTATACTTCAGTGTGAAGGAGTGTTGTCTCTGTATTTATAGTTCAGTGACAGCATGCATTTTTAATGTAGCAGCCACACATCGAGTCCTGCTGAGAATTGTTTATATTTTCTGATAGTGATGGCAGAGCATGATGAATTACTGGATATTTTAGAAGGTCAAGAACATTTTCTATTTAACGGCGTTAAAGCGGGTTTGGTGGATATTCTGGACATATTTGTCATTGCCCTTGGTGCTTCCTATATATCACAGCTTAGTTAGTTAGACATATGGGGCAAACTTTACATCAAAGAGCAGGTATGTGACACTTGTCATCACCAGGATGTGTCGGCCTGACATGAAATGTGACTTTGAGTGTATTTTTGTCACACGCTTCTCACTGAAGTATAAATTGGGCCAGATAGTAGTGTAAATACGCGTACATTCTGCATTTTGATTCTCTTTCAAATCCAAATCATATAGCAAAAATGATCCAGTAACTGCTGTTTAACATGATAACAAGTGATTGCACATTGTAACATAGTAAAAAATAATAAGGATGTAAATTCACGGGAGAGGAAACAGAGCTTTTTATCAGTCAGCACTTCAAACCAAGGTCAGGAATAAATCTTTGTCTTATTTTGTGCCTGCCTTCATGTCACACTTCCATTTGTGTGCTTCTTCACCCCCCCCTTTAGAAATAGCTCCTCAGCATCCTCTTATTTTGCTTTCAGTAAAAAAACAAAAACAAATCTCTTCCCTGTGTTCATTATGCTTATTTTGGAAACCCTTTTAACTTGAAGTTCAGCTCAGACGTTACAAAAATTGACTAAAATTTGATGGAGGAATCATATTAGATGCTGTAATCAGTTTGTATCAGAA